TTACCATTCATTGCAAATTGGTGTCAGTTGTTTATAAGCAGCACTCTTAAAAGCAAATTTAGTGGATCATGAACACATTTTTTTTTCTTTGGTGGCAACATTTGTGACTGGCTTCTTTTACATTGTTATTGTATATTTTTTGATGAGATTCATTTTGTAGGACAGATGTGATGCTCAGAGTCCCTGCACAGAGGGTGACTTTTTTATCGTTGGTTTTATTTTCTTAGCTTTTACATCAAGCCAACAGAGTGAATCAGAAAGAGTTCTAATTTGAAGCAGATTATAATGTGGAATACCATCATCTTAATTATGTCATTATTTTCTTTTCAAGTTTCATGCGATATCCATTTTAGTTGTTACTGCTATTGTTGCTAAGTCCTCAACTGATATGGTTTCTATTATTTGATACAATTCTTTGTTTCTGGTTCTGTAGTGCCAGTTAACAAGATTTTGAAAAAAGATGATCCTCATTAATACCTGTAGACTTCATTTACTCAAAGCCACCTTTAACCATAAATCTGAGAATTCAGTTGTATACAGCTGATAGTTTAGATATTTCTAAACAGGTTTGGCATCATGCATGACATTCATATGAAAGTTTCAATCTGAGGAGGCTATTTAAGAACATGACTGAAATTTAAAGGTTAATGTTTTACTTCTGTAGCAAATTGCAGAGTTGAGTAAATTACCCTTTGTACAACTTATCTCTATACTAAATTCTTTATAACAGATCCATATTCCAAGATATTTGTTCAGCATTTACTAATTCTACATGGGCACTTCAATGTGGTATAATGGTTAGAAATCTGGAGTAATGGATAGTGGTTCGCATTTCAGTTGAATCCATTACATTCACTTACATGCTAATACTCTTGGGAAAAGTATGAATCCTCTTCTTCTCCCCCTGCTATGAGTAAATAGCAGGAGAGACCAAATTCTATAGTCTTGGATGGCAACTGGCGCACCGCAGAAAGAAATGGCAACCTACTGCAGAAAAAATCTGCCTTGTCAGTCATGTATTGAAAGATACATGATCGTCTAAGTATGTATCATGGCACATAATTGACTGACTGACTACTAATTCCATATTTTGAATTTTCACTATCAAATCAGGGTATATACCATCACTACTTTCATTGCAATTCCAGATCATAATTTCTATTTTAGAAAGGTTTATCTTGAGTCTGATTTCTTGGAACACAAAGAAGAGGATGTTGATCATTCAATCCTAACTGTGAATACTTCTGTCACTGGCATAGCCATTCTCATCATCAGTACACTGGCCTTAGGAGGGAAAACAGGAATGCTATTTTCTATTAGTAAAATTAATTTAGGATGTGCCCATCTCTTCATATCTATGCTTGTATATGTGCAAGGTATAGTCCATGAAGAAACTAAATATATGGAGGTTATTATTTCCTTCTCATCATACTCCTGATGAGGTTTGAAATGTTTTGGCATTGAGCTTTTCACTAAACATGTATGACTTTCAGGACCAATATACTTCCTTTATCAGATTGAGACCTTCAGTGGAGTCAACTCAAAAATGTCTACCCACTAAAAATAGCATTTATATATATATATATATATATATATATATATATATATAAATATATATATATATAAAAATCAAGAGGAAAACTATACTTAGGTAATGTATAATTTTCCTCTTGTCTTTTTTATTCCTTTTGTCTCAGTATCTGTCTATATTTCTGAGATGAGGTATTATGTGTTACTGCTTTCCAGTGTTCTTGAAGCCTTACCTTAAGGGGGAAGCCTGTCTCTCCTTTCTATTTCTTTCCGCAGCTGTAAGGGATAGCATACACACAGTCTTTAGTCATGTTCTCCTCTATCCGGGGTCTTACTCAGAAGAGATATCTGCAAGGTGTTGTCCAGCTTTTGAAGGTTGTCTTGATGTTATATGGACCGCAGATCCTTTCTATTTTCTCTGATAACCCCTTCATATAAGGCAGGCAGACTGTTTTCTGAGTGTTGTTGTCCTCCTCTTGTACCTGCCTATCCCAGTTTTTTAGGGCTGCTGCTATGTACCCAGGACAGTTGTTACATTGTAGGGTACTACTTATACTGACCAATTCTTTATCTAATGTCTCTGGGTCGTCACTTATCACTTTTGCTTGGTGTTGTAAGCAGCAGACGATCCCTTTCTTTACACTGTATGGATGGTGGGAGTTCAAATTGAGGTACTGTCCAGTGAATGTTTGTTTACGGTATATGGATATCTTGAACCCATGTTCTGTTCAAGATATTAGAACATCCAGAAATGGGAGTGTGTCGTTACTCTCCTTCTTCATCATGAACTGTATCGAAGGTCTTATTGAGTTCACATTGTCCAGTAAACCTGAGCATCTTCTTGGTGTGGTCAGAGTATGAAGGTGTCATCTACGTACCTTAGCCATAGGGTTGGCTTTAGAGATATAGATTCAAATGCCATTTCCTCAAAGTATTCCATGTATATATTCACCATTGGTGGTGATAAGGAGAGAAAAGGGAGATCACCGCCTTCTGTGGGCTCAGGTTGAGATCTTAGACAAAAAACACCATTTGTAAACTTAAGGAATCTGCACATATGCTAGGCCACAAAAATCTCCTGAGCCAACCAAGCATAGAAATGAATACAATATGGGAAGCAGTAATAAGGAGTGCCAGAGAAAAGCAATAATAACAACAAAAATTGCAATATGAGCTCTGGTAAAACATGTAATGATAACAACAAAAATTGCAATATGAACACTGATAAAAATGGTTCCTGAATACATTAGGTTTATAATACCCAGAAATTCATACACAGAGGTCCTCAAGCTCACATGGCACAATGGATAAAGATGTTAGTTAGATCCAGTGACAGGACTTAAAGAGTGTGAGTTCAATACCCGGTTAAGGCAGTGGAGAACTTGGAAAGGGGAATTAACAGGAGATAGCTGATAACTGACATCCATTAATCATGGCACGTGGAACTAGAACAGTCTATCCCAGTGAGTGAAATAAAGGGTTCTGTTCGACATTCCAACCACCTGAAGAAGGTCATTTTGTCTCTTCTACAGATACACTCTATCTGAGAATATTTACACACACACACACATATATATATATATATATATATATATATATACTCTTTGTGTTAACTAAATGATAGAAGTATTACTTAATACACTTGGGTAATTATGATTTTTTAGCTCTTATTTTAATAAAAGTATTAAAGATTAACCTACTAATGTCCCCCATCCTAATCTTGGAACAGTGACTATTAATAGTTTATAGGTAGAAATTCATAATTAATAATAGATGTTTTATAAATTTGTAATTAATACTGGATTTTATTCTTAGGTTGAATAAAAAGTTTGTTCAGTTTATTTAGTAAATAATTATTAAGTAAATTAATACTAGGTTTTGTTTTAATTTTTATAATTAACTAGCTGAATTACCCATGCCCTGCTGTGTGTCACACATTTTTTGTAAGAAAATGATGGTTGATTTTAAATCATTGCTATAATTTGTGGAGAAAAATGATGCATTTCAATATTACTCAATGATCATGGCAATGTGACCTCCATCTTCTGGCTTTCTCCTTCTATATTTTGGATAAGAGTCATTCCCTTGTTCAAATTTAAATTTAATTTAAATCAAAAGGAAAAAAATTTCAGTGGAGGGGTGCAAAACAGCTTGATCTGACTCTTTTGATATGTAGTTGATGCAATACTTGATTGAATGAATTGATGAGCATATTTTATCATTGATATAAGAGTTGGATTGTTGCAACAAATATGTATTGTAAGGCATTAACCACTGATTGGTGATTTATTGTTCAACTTGACATCCATATTGTTTCATTTTGATCTTGCCGATGTGACCTCCATCTTCTGTCTTTCTCCTTCTATATTTTGGATATTTTGGATGATCAGAATTAAATTTAATTTAAATCAAAGAGAAAAAAATATTCAGTGGGATGTTTGTGCCCCACAGAGACCCCTTTGATCAAAATGAAATATAATTATCCAAGTACATTAAGAATCATTCCCTTGTTCAAATTTAAATTTAATATATATCAAAGTGAAGAAAAATTTTCGGGTGTAGGGGGCGTGGACCCCCTTTGATCAAAATGAAATATACTTATCTAAGTACCCTCGGTAGTGTATTGTCAAAATATATATGGTTATGGGGTCTATCGCCCAAACCCTAATAGGACTTTGATAACAAACAAAGAGGCAAATAGAGGCTACAACTTTATATATATACATATATAAGATTTTATGGTCAACATGAATAGGTCAAATTGAAGAGAATGGATAAATTGAATAAAAAAGAAGCAAGCAAAAGAATTATTCATTTGTATTTATTGTTTGGTTGTGTTAAATATTTGTTCCTATAAATTTAATTAAAAATATGTACATCCAAGTTTTCTTTAATGTGCTTCATATAAAGAAGTTAGTTTATTTTAAAATGATAAATTTCAATCAAATTTGATTATACAATGTGTTCCCGATTGACATAAATTATTCTAGAGCTTTGCTTTATCATTATCCAGTGGCCACTCACTAACCGCTTTCACTATTCTCCCCTGCTTTACAAATAAACTATAATCTTGTCCTAATCTGAATCCAAAGAGATAGTATATACCTGGAAGAAATAGCTTGTGACTAAGATCTTCCTTAAACAACAAAAATTAATTAAAAATTAATAAAATCAAATATACTATTCATCTCCACTGAAAAGATATTAGATCAAGTGGTCATGAAAGAGTTACATATGACCATAATGATAATAAAATGTTACAGTATACAAAATAGCCTATGTATTTTTCTAGACAATTATGACCATTATCTGTTTGTTTTTTTCTAAATCTGTTTTTATATTTTTTTACTGTAAAACATCTAAGATAATCACTGTAATAACATTTCCATCTTTTATTAATCATTTTATTTTGCTTTTAAACATAGAGTAGGGTTTGTTTCATTGTTCCAATTTTTTTTTTTAATCTTTAGAATGCTTTTGAGAAAATCCGTCCATTTCCCAAGCGACATATGATAGCTTCCAAGCAGGCACATTACCAGAGTGTTCTTCGAGAACGTTATAGAAGGCAGTTCAAAACTCGACAAGCCCTTCTTCTTGATGATGACATGCAGGATGGTGAGGAGCAGTGTGAGGTATGTGAAAAATGATCCTTTTTCCTTTTCTCCCCCCCTTTTGACATGCACAACTTTTCTCTCTATTTTGAGTTATATTTATACCAGTACTGACTCACACCATACCTCATGACCAATTTTGTTCCTCCCACTATCATCTTTATCTTGTAATCTATATGTACAAAAACATAATCAGTTATGTCTCACTTATTCCGACTCTATGAGAAATTATCTGTTTATTAAACTGTGAGGAAGATAACTTTGACTGCTTCAAAAAATTTAGTTATCAGGTAATATTAAAAGAGTGAAAGCAATTCTGTGAAACATTATAGCTTATTATTAATTTTTGATGACTATTATTATTATTTGTTTCATTTTAATTTCTATTGCTTTATATTGCAACATCCAAATCATTATTCTGCAATTGTTGATAAGTAGTGTGAACAGTGCCAGATTTACCTAAAAGCTTAGCAGGATGAAGCCTAGGGCCTCAAAATCTAGGGGCCTCCAGCCAAGGTGTATAATATTTCTGACACTATCATAGGCCTTTCTTACACATGCTGTGTAAGACTCTAAACAAACCTTCCATAATTTTCCTTACATTTCATTTTAGAATAATTATGTCCTAAGCTGATAACTCATTGCTGGCATTGATTTCTTTATAGATTTTTTTTAATTTTAACATTCATGCATTTATTCAATCACATACTGTATTTAACAATAACATCTTATATCCTTTAGAGAAGGAATTGTCAACTGTGGAAATTTAAACACCCATCATCATCCTCGACTTTTTTCAAATTGTTTAATTTAACACTCTTCCATTTTCTTTTACTCATGAGAATGGGGGATTTGGAGGGACCTCATAAGTGGAATAGCCTAGGGTCTCTCTTCATCTAAATCCAGCCCTGAGTGTGGATCAAAAATAAAGAATACACTGTTCAAACTCAGATTTTTGTCCTTGCAAGTCTGCCTTACTAATTAGGCTATGAAGGCTAACCAACAGCAGTCATTCAAATTTAGCCATATGGTTCTGTTACTGTTTCCTGAATGTCAAGGATATGCAGGGGGTGTAATGAATAGTGAATCAGAATGAGAAATTGAAGAGCTGAGTTTGAATTCCAGTCAAGTTTTTACATTGACTTATGCACAAATACCCTTGGGAAAGGTATAAATCCATCACCCCCATCTATGTGTTAAGTAGTAGAACTTTTATTTAGAAAAATTATTGTTAATCTCAAAAATATTGTTGATGTAATATTCACTAACAAAAAAAGAATTATACTTACAAAACAAAATATGCCTGAGTATTTTTGGCTTTCCTGGGTCATTATTAAAGAGTTTTTCTTTTTTGCTCTATCAGTTTCATCTTTTTTTCCAATATCACATCTTCACATGATATATCAGGGTTTATTTTTAAATATCATATTTTCACGCACCAGTTCATGTTGTGTCTTTTTCATTTTGCATTTTAATTTTTAGTTATGGAATATGTGTGTGTGTGTGTTTGTGTGTGTGTGTGCAAATAGATAGATAGATATGAACAGACTGAGATAGATAGATAGATAGATAGATAGATAGATAGATAGATAGATAGATAGATAGATAGATAATATGGCAATGAATTGTTTAGATTAGTATGAAGGTTATTGTACAAATATAGTCTTTCAGACTTACATCCTTACTGATATCTGTACTTCTTGATCTACAGATTGAATAATGCTCTTATCCTTTAACTCAAGCAGTAGATGAGAATATCAGTTCAGAAGGGAAAGCAAAGGAGTAAAGAAAAAGATAACAATTATAAATCCTAAAATATCACTGAAGGCCATTAAGGACAGGCTTAAGAAAAGGCAAAGGATTATGATACACAGAATGAAGTAAAGGGCTTTATATTTTTTTAAAAATCTGATAGAAATGCTGTAAAATGTTTAAACAATCAAATATAGCCTTATGATACTGAATGAAAAAAGCACTCTGTCCAAACTTTCCTAAAGAGTACTGGATATGATACATACCTGAGGAAATCGAAGGGGATGATAGCTAAAATGTTGTCACAAGTTCAAAAGAATCATTCTATAATGATACCAATGCTTTATAATCCGATAGATTGATTCATTCATTTTCTATGGCTTATCAACCCATTGCAGTTTATTTAAAGCCAAAAAATATTTTTAGATTGTACGAATTCTTTTTGGTGGTGGTGGTGGTGGTGCTGGTGGTGGGGCAATAATAATGATTTAATGGTACAAGTTTTACTAATTAACCCTTAGCTTAGGGGCAGTGTTAAATATTTGTTCCTATAAATTTAAGGATATTTTTTCTAAGGATATTTGTATGTGAGTGAATATAACAAACCAAACAGAAATTGGAATTCAGCTCTCCAATTAAAAATTTCAAGTCATTATCTATTACTTACACATTCAAGCTTACAACACGTATTCCCAAGCAATCACCCATTTAGGTACTAATCAGGCTTGATGATGCTTAACTAGACACTAACCAGACTCAACATTGCTTAACTGGTGTTTCAATGTAAAAATCAGAAAATACTTTGTTTAAAATACACTTTGCAGAGACTACAAAAAAATTTATATGATTGGTACAGCAAGCATGCTTTGAAAAGTACTGTCTGAGGTCCTTTTTTGACCTGACAGACAGTATCTTCCCTGGTACACAACAACAGTACCATGATACATCCAATAATAATAATAATAATGAATATAGCAATTTGGAATAACTTTAATAAGGAATCCCACTTATGGAACTCCCTTCCAATTTCTTGCTTGTCTGATAACTACAATCTTCAAAAATTTAAATACAATGTCAACTGCCATCTTCTATTTTCTTGAACCCTGTTCCTTTTTTGCCCTTTCCTCAGTCCACCCCTTTTTCAATCTTCTTGTTCTCATTTACTCCCTGTAACAGCCTGCATTCTAGTGAGATTGTCGCCTTGCCTGGGGTGAAGACTAAAAAAAATAAAAATCTCATATCACCAAATAAGATATATGTATGGCTGGCTACTTGTCTTCTGAGTTTGCCTGTTTGCTAAAGTTCTTTTTCTAGTGTCCTGATTACATGAATTTAAGTGTGCTACTAGATTGGCAACTAGGTTTCACCACTTTACTCTTGAACTAGTCAGATGCAACCATCATTTCTAATCTAACAGTTTTTTCTTGCACTTCCCACCTGTGTAACTCCCTTCTGATTTCTTGCTTCTCTGATAACTACAATCTTTAAAAATTTAAATGCAACATCAATCGGCATATTTTGTCTTCTTGAACCCTGTTCCTTTTTTGCCCTTTCCTCATTCCACCCCATTTTCAATCTTCTCATTCTCATTCACTCCCTGTAACCCCCTGTGTTTTAGTGGCATTGTTGCCTTGCCTGGGGTGAAATGATTAAAACAAAATTAAACATTCAACCATTGCCTTGTACATTTTCCTGTTAATTCAAGCTTCTTTTTTTTATCTGTTCAGGTTGATCTTGCTGACTGCTTGATTGAACAAGCCTTATCTGTACAATCAGCTGACATCTACTCCAAAGGTGAGTTATTTTCTCTTCTTGCCACCATAAGACAAAAAAATCACTGTAATGGTTTAACATATTCCTTTTTGCTTTCACAAACTGAAAATTTCTCCACCCAACTAAAGAACCCCTTTCAAAAAAAGAAAATTGAATGCTTGATCATTTCATCAGTTTTTCGAAGTGAACCAATTTTATTAGTAATGGATTTGTTCAAGGAAATTAGGAAGATTGGAAACATAGATGTCAAATCTGTTTTGCATTTAATGATTTCATTACCATTTTAACCAAAGAATATTGTTTTTCCTTTCAGAAGAGAAACTGGATATCATTTATTCTTATGATAATTGATTTGGATTTATCATTTCTTTGTCCAGTTAATAATGTTTAAAATGTGAAATGTTCAATGAGCTGTTTATTGTAGGTGTTCATGACTTAAACATGTAATTTTTGAAAAGGAAAGTGCAAACATTTATTAGTTCAACATGTTTATCATTGTACTTAAAAATATCTGCTTGTAGTGTAGCAGTCATTGGCATGGAAAGGTATGCATTCATTCATATTCTTAAATTAACTCAAAAGATATAAAAATCATCTAATCTCTTTTGACATTTTTTGAACAAGTAAACATTGACACAAGGTCACATCCATTGAACACCCATGAACTAGCTAACAATGGCTTCTAAATTTGCTTATTAACTATTAGCACTCTGTAGGTAGCTATTTTCACAAAGCAAAATGTTAGTCCTGCCAATGCAAGTTGAATTTGAATTTCTTGATTGTGAAGTCATGTCATTCTATGGCAACACCTAAAACAATCTCGACTGAAATTGAGAGTCAAGCTACTACAATTTCAAATATATAGAACTAACATATAAAATACTATATTTTGAGGGGATTCCAAATAAAGTAAAAAGGGAAGTAATATTTATAAATGATGCAAAGTGCTAAATGTTAAGAGTTGTTCTATGACGATATTTTTCCACCTTCTCAATAAAAGTAATCTTTTCAGTCAGAACACAAAATAAAATGTATATTACTTATAACAATAATTCATTATATAAATACAACATAAGTTTATAAAATATACTTCTTTAAAAATATATATTAGTAGGTACTAGAAAGTTCTTGGCACAGTTAAGAAGACCCTTCCAAAAAAAAAATTAATTGTTTGGTCAGATTTTGGAAATTGTGTTTTGATAAAAACTTTTGTGTACCTTTTAATAAATATATATGTTCTTTTTTTTAACTTTTTACCCCAAGCAAGACAATAAAGCCACTGAGACACAAGGAGTTATGGAGTATGAAAGAATATGAGAAAAAGAAAAGAATTATTAATGTGGTGAGAACAACAAAAGAACAGGAATTAAAACAGGAGATAATGATTGACATTGCATTTAAATTTTGAAGATCAAAGTGGAAAGGGAAAGGGTGGAAGAGAGTTCCATAAGTGAGAAGTATAAGAGAAGAAACTGTTAGCATATAACTTACAGTTATATTTAGCCATTTCAACTGTAAAATGATGATGAGACCTTGCTGCTGACCTCATACTGCGTTTATTTTTGTAAAGTCGATGTACCAAAGAAGAAAGTTCATCAGAAAAATTACAATGAAGATATTTATAGAAAAGGTGCAGGAAGCTATGTTACTGCAGTTGGAAATTGACTGAAGCTGAGATACCAGGTCAGGACCAATAACATTGCAGACTCTTTAGATTTGTATATGATATAAACTGAAACTTAAAAAAAAATACTCTTAAGAAATAGAAGCAACTTGTTTATTCATCTTATAGGATGACAAATACAGTGTTTATGCACTGTTGCCAACTTCTGCAGTTTGATCTTAGTAACATTTATACACAAGACACATTCAGCATCAAATATTATTTTTTTCACTTTTTGTTCAAATGAGTTTTTCTCTTTGCTACCTGACTGCATGAATTTAAGCATACTACTAGATTGACAATTAGGCCTTCTTTACTCTTGAAATAGCTCGAAGTAAAGTTCTATTTTAATAGTTTCTTTTCTTACACTTCTCATCTGTAGAACTCTCTTCTGGTTTATTGCTTCTCTCCCACTGATGATCTTCAAAAATTTAAATGAAATATCAGTTGCCATCTTCTGTCTTCCTGAATCTTGTTCTTTTATTGTCACTTCTCCTCACAAGTCTTCTCATTTTCTTTCATTCCCAGTAACCCATGGTGTCTTAGTGAGATTATCAACTTGCTTGTGATGAAATGATTAAAAAAATAATAAAAGATAAATAAAATTAAGATAAGATTTGGTGGTCACTGCCAAAATGTTTAAGAACCAATGAACAGCACTGTAAAAATGATGAATAAATATTACATATTAAAAAAAGTGCTCAAAAATATGTTTAGAAAAACATTGTCATTGAAAGGGTTAATAATGTGACAAACCTATTTATTTATTTTTCTTTAAAAAAGCTTATTTATACAACACAGAGATAGATACAAATATCTATTTAACTTGCAATGGAAACTAGATCTATTTGGGAAGGATGTTAGAATAATCCAGAACTTATATTGGGAACAAACCATTTACATACAAATAGAAAATGAATTTAGTAAGTACACAAAAATAGAAAGGGGCATAGGATAAGGATGTGTCTTCTGATCAGATTTAGTCAACATTTACAGTGAGGGAGCTGGTGACCTTAACAGGATTTATTATCAGAAAGCACAATCTAAACCTCATGATATACAGATGACAGTGTCAATGAGAGACACAAGAAAAACTAAAGAAACTTTTAGACAAAGGAAAGCAAGAAGAAAGAACTAATCATCAGCTGCAAGAAGATTGTATAGTTGTCAGCAAGAGAAAAAAGCCAAGATGTGAACTACAAATTAAAAATAAAAAATTACACAAAATTAAATATCTAGGAAGTATTTTAACAGAAAATGGAAAATGTGATACAGAAATCTGAAGACATATTGGAATAGCAAAAGATGCCTTGCAAAAACTAAATAAAATACTAAGAAACAGAAAAATTTCATAAGAAAGAAAGAAAAGAATGCTCAACTGCTATGTAGTACAGTGAGACCCCCATCTATTCGCATTTCAGCATTTGTGGCTTCACACATTTGTGGATTTTTCTTTAGAACATATGTAGTTGTTATTTGCAGAAACCCCAAAATTTGCATGTTTTTCTGAAGAACATATGTACAAATTCTTCGCTGAGAATTCTCTCAATTCACATTTTTTTGATAGAAAATATTTAATATATTCTTGTATTATTTTCCTGTTATTTAAGTGACTTAAAACATATAACAGTCCGTGTTTATGGTAAAAATTGACAGAATTGTACATCTTCATTGTAAAAAACAAGTGCAAAAACATGCATAGTGCTTGGGCTTTGTTCTTTGTTAGGGGCTGCAGCTGGGGTCTTAAAAGTGGCTTATGTTAAATTTGGGGGCTTCATCACAGTTCTGTTTTTAGAAAATGTTTTAAACTCTATATTTTATGTCTTGTTACACATATTTTATACAGTATTTTCAATGGTTGTATTGATCTATGCATAATTTAAAAACGGTTATAGTACATATGAAAGAAAATTTACACTAAGTGTATGGTCACAACTAGTATTTGCAGATTATAACTATTCATGGCCAGTTCTGGTCCCTAACGCCCACGAAAACGGGGGGACTCACTGAACGCTGGGCAATTTCTACACAGTTGAAAATGAGACTTGAGGCAACCAATATGTGATTCTACAGAAGGATGCTGAGAATATCATGGATAAAGCATTTTACCAGCAAGGAAGTTTTAAGGAAAATGGAAATAAAAAGTGACATTTTTACTTAAAAGAGGCAGGTGAAATTTTTGGGTCATATAATGAGGAAAGAGGGCTTAGAGAATTTAATACTCACAGGGCATACTAAAGGCAAAAGGGACAGAGGGAAACATCAAGTAACCTACCTAACAAGCTTGTGTAAATGTCTGACAGAACAGGCATTGGGAGAGATAGTAAAGGGACAAATATTGCTTAGTGCTACAAAGTACAGAAAGTTGTGGAGAGCCATGAGCACCAATGTCCTGAAGGGACATGGCACACAGAAGAGGAAGAAGAAGAAGAGAATTAGTTGAACAGGGAATAATTAAAATTAATGCTTTTAAGGGATTTTATATGATGCATTAATTCTTTTAGGCTACTTGACTCAATCTTGTTTTCTTTATCACATTTTGACCACTGTGTTTTCCAGCCTTTCTCAAGTGTCTGACACATTTGGTAAATTGCCAAGAATGTTAAACAGAAACCTTTATTTGATCCAGAGGGCTACGTTGTTTTGAATTCCTCTGACACATCTGGTGTTCTTCTAAGTGAATATCATAACTTGTAACCATCAATTATTTTTGTGATGCTGACCTACTTCTTTCTTGAGCCAGCATACATTCCATCACTACCTGACCAAATGTGATGCTAATCAAGACTAGTGGGTACAGCAGCTGAAATACTGTGATAAAAATAACAAAGAAAATGAAAGTAGTTCAAAATAATCAATGTATATTAGTAAAAATAGTTCATCTGAGAAATTCAGACAAACATGACATCATACAGAGTCTGTCTATATTTCTGAGATGAGGTATTATGTACATTATTTACATTATTCGGACTATTGTCCTCATCTTTGCGCCATATTCATCACAACGGTTCAGCCATTGTACACTTCGGCCTTCTTCAGGTGGTTGGAATTTCGAACTGAACCCTTTATTTCGATCACTGGTTCCACATGCCATGTTTGATGGGTGTCAGTTATCAGTTATCTCCTGCTAGTTTCCCTCTGAAAGTTCTCCACTACCTTTACCGGGTATTGAACTCACACTCTTTGGGTACTGTCACTGGATCTAACCAACACCTTTATCCACTGTGCCATGTGGACATCTGGGTATGAATTTCTGGGTATTATAAACCTAATGTCTTCAGCTTCCATTTTTACCAGAGCTCATATTACAACTTTGTTGTTATCATTGCT